GCAGCAGAGCTTGAAAGAGATTATTACTCTTGAAAATGATCAGTCTACATCTGTATGGAGACACCGCCCGCGCATGCCTCTTTGTGTGTGAGTATTTAGTCTAAAGAAGACCAACACTATTATTCAGCACTTCATCAGATTAGCTGGCGGTACATACCTCTCTGTATTTATCAAAAAAGGAAAACACAGAAAATGTCATCAGTGGCAGCAGTGGTAATTATTTGCAGAGACAGCCACTTACTAACATTCCCAGATGTGTAAAACTTGACAGATGCTGAAGCGCTGAGCCAAAATGTGCTTGAAAAATGAAACATCTGTCAAATGTTTTTAAAGACTCAGCACTCCCTAATTTTCCTGCACAATGTTTCACATTGCCGGAATTAAAGATTTCCATCTAAACATCCAGGCGAGCTTGCCGACTGTTGGTGGCGATAGCTGATAGATGTGCATTGACTGGATAAATGTGATGAAGCCTGCGATAATGACAAACCTCTTTCTAAAAGCAAAAGTAGCTTTCTTGATTCAATTCCAAATAAATGCTCCGTGACCTACGAGTGGAAGGTGCTCAGCTCATTCCGTAACTCCATTTAGGCTTTCTTTAACCATTTACTGTTAGAACATTCCTATCGCTCTTTAAATGCGTCTCACTCACTTACTCTTGCTATCTTTCCCTTTTTCGTCCCCCCTTTCATTTACTCTCTCTCCCTCTCTCTCTCTCTCTCATACACTCTCTCTCACACACACCCTCTTCCTGAGCAGTAGGAACATTCCTTACATCAGCCAGAATCCCATGTGTGCGCATTTACAAAAGCAATATTCTTCAGCTCACATGTCAACAGGTGAGATGACAGCGTCCATGACATCCCCGTAGCTACTTTAGGTAAACGCCTCACAACAACTCTGCAATTATTATTATTTTTTTTTTTTTTAAGCGCGGACCTCCGCCAAAGCCATGCCCTGTCTCGCAATGTCAACAAAAGTGAAGAATAATTTGTATATCCGGCTTGAAACTTTAATGGGTTCTTCCTTGGCCCTTCCACCAAGGGTCATGAACATCAGGACAGTATTTTTTTCCCCTCCCGTTTCTCTGCTGAAAAACAAACAAACCAAAAAACATAACCGCCTTAATCGTCACGGGCAGGGGAGGGTGTTTAACATAAATCAGGACCAATGCATTCATCGAGTGCTTCAGTTATTTCGTTGAGCCCTGCGTGAATGTTAGAATCGTGCATCGTGCATCTTCCTCTCCTGCAGACGTACGAACGTAAGCCATGGGAGGATTTACATTTATTTCCCCCATGATGCTGCAGTTGGTAGCTGCAGGGTGAAGAGACTATTATTCATGTTGCCTATAGCCGTACAGGTTTGATTCTCCAGCTATAGCTGGACTGCAATAGCATGCATAAATATAAACGAGACGTTGCGCGTGTTTTGCAAATACAGGGACTGAGAAGTGACGTGCATGTGCTTTATGTATTGCTGCTTGATACCCTCCATTAGAGAACATCTCTCAGCCGCGTGCAGGGTAATGACAGACTGTCTGTGTCTCCCAGAGAAGGCAGACTGCTGGGAATGTCACAGCAGACACACAGCACCTGGAGACGCCTCTACAGATGGGAAAAAGCCCACAAAACCAAACAGTAATGAGGATGCACAGGTTTATCCTTTCATCTGCTCCTTCCAGATAAGGAAGACGGTATGTGGGAAAACGTGTGGACAGAGTGAGATAGCTCAACGCCGCTGTTGGCTAGGGAGCTGTGAAGTAACTGACAGGAGGAATCGATGCGGAGGGTCGATGGACAAACAGTAAGTCCACAAGCTGACAAACACGGCAGACAGCCCCCACAATGCAGCACGAACAGAGGGCCTTCACACAGGCTGGCAAGCATGAACGGCGGTCTACCGGGACGCTGAGACAACAGCGCTAAAGTCACTGTGGTGACAGCTAAAGGGGTCTGCAGATAGGCAGGTAAACAAGAGGAAGTGGCTAATAAGAGGGGGTAAACAATGAGCTGAGTCGAGTTACTCTGGAGTCATCCCTCCATTCATTTAACTGACAAGACTACCCGTTAGAATATGCGACCAAATCAAACCCTGGACCAGATTTTGTGTAGACAAGCGAGAAATTAATTGGTGAAACATAATAAACTCAGATGCCTCCACACAGGGCAAAACGGGATCACTGAAAGCTTTGATATGAAATTGACCTCAATTATATGGCGCGGCATTCGCAGCCATCAGATCTCAGCTCATTTTTAACACCTATGATTATATTTTGGACGAACGTGTTTAGACTTCCAGAAACGTTTTTGCCATTTCGGCGGCTTCTGTTGTCTCCACTTTACTACAACCACTTATGTTGTTTGTTTCCTTTAATGTGTCATCCGTCTGTATATGTCAGCACCAAAAATTCAAGTTTTCCAAGTGACAACACGCTTCACAACTCGACCGTTTGTCACCGACTTGCTGCTCTATCCTACAAAGTTGCAGGTGGCCAACGCTCCAAAAGAGGGAATAGGAGGGCTACCAGGTGATAACGTTGCAGACATAGCTGGGAAAAGACACGCATTCTTAAAAAAGGACATAAGAAGTTTGTGCCGTCCATGAGGAGAGCAATATCCTGTCCTCTCTTTCACATCCCACGCCCCCCCCCCCTTTTCCTGCCACCTTTCTCCTCCCCAGCCTATACCCCACTGACCTAAACTAGATCTGGTAAGCAATCACTGGAGCTCTGATTGACGTTGTCCAGCTGAATACAGCGCGCCTGCCTGGCGACAGAAACACACACACACACACACACACACACATCAGCCAGTAAACATCTGAACGCCCCTTTCTAACCACTACAATCTGCTCTCCCATGTCCAAGATCGTGGTCATGGGCGACACCAATGAACTGTGATTAAAGCACAAATGGATTAATTAATGGCAATCTGCTTTAAAGCCATGCACACACACGCACACACACTTGCAGCATGCACGGACGGCAGCGCACACCAGCAGCACAGACACGCAGGAGAGAAAACGCCCTGCCTTGTTCCATGTCGAAACCCTGAGCCCTCTGGGTCGTCTACACTCAACACACACACACACACACACACACACACACACACACACCACCTTCACATACGCTTTTCTTTCGAGACCATATATAGAGACCACATCTGGACAAAAAAAAAAAAAAGCACTGATTTCTGAGCGAGTTTTGTTTTCCCGTCTTTGTTGGCCAAATGTGCGCTGCGTTAGACGCGAGCACGCGTTAAGGACACGCTGATCATGATGTTCGGGTTGCAAATGTTGATGATAATGGATCGTCAATGTCCGCATATTGGCAACGAACCTTTATAAATGGCGATGATGAAATGCAAAGGAAAGCGTTCCCCCGTACGCCTGATAGCAGAGGGTACAGAAAAGCCATGCAGTCGACCAATTCACCGAAAACCCCGCTACATAGTAAGAAAGCGCAGATTTAACGGTACATTGCGTTCGCCTGTGCTGTAACACATGAGAAGCTTTAAAAAAAAAAGTTTTACCTTTAACTTGAGTTTCATATTCGGCCACTATCTCCTTGTCCTTTCGGAATTTCGCCGGAGACGTCATGGCTGAGTTTGGAGATCAAACCGCTTTGCCCTCGCAGCGAAGTCAATTTTGTCACAATCGATGCAAAAAAAAAAAAAAAAAGAAAGAAAAATAATCAGCCGTAGACTTGATGGATGCCACACTGGAACCAGCTTTTGAAAAGGGGGGGAAAAAGAGCCCAGATGCGAGTTTGCAGCTCCCCAGTGTAGGCGCAGATCTGTATTGTCTCCCTGCCTCTGTTCACTCCGGGCGCATTGTGAGTTTGGCGCTGCTGCTGCTGTGTGTTCCCATCCGCCTCACCGCCTCCTCAAAACCGGTTATGGTGCAAATAACTTCAAGTGAAAGGAGATGCATTCCCTTTTTGAAAAAAAAAAAATGAACAGCGATGGCATGTCAGTCCGCACTTCCAGAAGTTTCTCTCTATATATATATATATATCTATATATTTGCGCTGTGCGGGTATTGTGCTCTGTGCCAGCTGCCCTCCCGCCTGTCTAAACTAAGCCGCTCTCCTCTACCCCCCTCCTGAAGTGAGAGAGAGGAGGAACACCGAGTGCACATGGAGGGGCAGACTGGTCTCCACTGGTCAGCCCCAGTGCGCAGGACAGGCATGGGTGCACACATGGATGGTATTCATTTTGGATTTATTTGTTGCAGACAAGACATTTGTTGCAGATAAGCCCCCAGCTGCATGTCCAAAGTCCCACACGTGTGTCTTGTTCAACCAGGTGAACTGATAAGTTATAGAGCAATATTTCTATGACTGATCAGTTACAATTGGAGGATGCATAAAGTGAGCAAACGTGGGTTTAATTGTCACTTCATATATCCTTTCAATAACGTTACGCCCGCTGACAGGAGACAATGTGCCTTACATATGTTTTTATGATGAATGTCTGTGACTGCATAACCGAGTATTTTGTAAAGGAAACCGCAAATTATCCTTGAGTTAGCTAGCTAGCTCCGGTTAGCCCCAAAATTGGCCAAAACCCAAGCAATTCTATAACCTTGTCTATCTATGCCCACCGATGACATTGTTCGACATAAAGGAAATGCATTTGCATTGTTTTGTACTCCGCAACAACAACGTCTAACAGAAATAGTGTAATTTAAGTTGCTGTCCATTTTACAGACGACCCATCTCTCTACGCATTCACTTTTTAGCACCAACTAAACGTCAAGCCCCGCCTTACGTGAGGATTGGTCGAACAGAATTTGAGTGACATGCAAGCACACCAATAGCTCTTCGGGATTTTTGAACCTGGGCTTTTCAACGATCATTTATAACCAATTAAAATCCGACTTTGTCACGAAGGTGTCCAATGGCGTTGGTTACCATGGAGAGTATCCAATCAGAGTCAGATATACAGTCTTTTAAAGATAGTTTCAGGAAGTACCGTTAAATACCAGGAAGTTGTAAACAAAGCTGACAGCGTTTGAGTTAGCTGTTAACCACATCCGAATGGATGCTGAGGCAGTCGTGTGAACAGGCTAGATATCGTGTATCTATCAATAATTCAGTTAACGACTTTCTTTTATATGAAAATCCTTTCGCGGAAATAGACACTTTCCGTGCGTTTGTTCTATAAGCTGACGTTAGCGTCAGCCTTCCGTTTTGTCGTTAGGAAAGGCTAACGTTTGCACACGGACGTTAGTGTTAACGTAAACGCTTGCGAAGTTAACGGCAAAATTGAGGTTCATCATCCCGAATTGAACGCGCAGTGAGCATAATCAGTCCGTGATTCTTTTTTTTTTTTCTGCTGTATTTGCTGTTTGGGAACAGAACGAGCGAGAGAACACGTCCATCTTAGCAGGACAACAATGTCTACATCGAACGCTAATTTCAAAAACAAGTGTGTGACCCAGGTGAACTGCATGTTTTGTGAAAGTCTGCTCTGCACGAGAGGCATGAAAGCCGTGCTTCTCGCAGACACGGAGGTTGAGCTCTTCTCGACTGATATACCTCCCAACAGGTAAGTGCTAATCTAGCTAGCAATGCTGCTAGCCTTTGTTTATGTCTGCTGTTGTTGCCAGGGTAAGATGTTCTGGAAACAAACCGCAGCTAACTGACTTCTAACTGATCATTTGGTGGGAATGGGGACACACACACACTATGATTAACAGGGTTTGTTGCATGAAAATGTGAAATGAATGTGGGTTTTAACCTTTTATGGCTTTGTTTGTTTCTCATTACACGCACCCTCCCCCAAGAACTGTTGACTTTGTGGCCAGCTGCTACTCTACTGAAAGCTGCAAATGCAAACTGAGAGACATCGCTTGTCTCAAGTGGTATGTAAAGTTCCTCTATAGCCTGCAGGGTTTGCTTTAGGAAGACCATCTGCTAATGTGAGATGGTGATAAAAAATGCAGTTAACACAGCAAACAAGCAGGTCTTTCCCATGTTTTTTCATAACATACACATGTAGAGCTGCAGCCGAGTGTTTTCATTGACGTTTAATAGACCAACTGTTTAATCAGGAAGGGAATCATCAAATAAATAGAAGGGCAACAGTCAAAAATGTCCATAATAATCCAAATATATTCAATTTACAGTAATATAAAACTGAGAAAAGCTGCAAATTCTCATATTTAAGAAGACAAAACCAGTGAATTGTTGGTGTTTCTACTTGAAAAGTGTCTCAAATAATGAATTAATAGTTGCCCATTAATTGTCCGTGAAACAACTGTAAATTAATTGTTTAAGCTCTATACACCTTTAGTAAACAGGACATTTTGCCATTCTGCATTTAAAGGAGCGTTTGGTGCTACAGTCAGGCTTCATGGAACCTCTTTTGTATTCCCAGGCCTTTTGTTGTTGTTGTACACAGGGCAAAAACAAACATCTGTTAGATAATAGGTACCCGCTAGTGGATCAGCACTTTTCAAAAGTGCTGACACACTTTTCTTCTTTATTCTCTCTCCCTCACTCTCCCAGCGGTAATGTTGTGGGTTATCATGTCGTGGCCCCCTGTAAACCCTGCCTGCTCTCCTGTAACAATGGCCATTTCTGGATGTTCAACAGCGACGCTGTATCTACTCTCAACAGACTGGATGCGACAGGTCAGGAGGAACTCCCCTCGATCACATTGGAATTCTTTGCAGTTTTGCCCTGTTGAATGTGTTTTCATGAGCAGTCACCCTCCAATGTGTGTACAGGTCTGAATCTGCTCCTGTGGGGAGATCTTCCCGAACTGGATGACAGTGAGAATGAAGAATCAGAAAGCCCGTTAGAGGAGTGTATTAGGTAGGTGCCTCAAGGGGACAATGTTAGAGACCCTGGAAAGCCAACATTTGAGGTGGAGCTAGAAGAGTGTACAAACCATGCTTCAGAGAAAAGAGACACTTCAAAGGGCAATTTAATACTGAATCATATAGGGCAGAAAAGTTCTGCTGCGCTGCTCTGTATGGGTTGAAAACTGAAACCACGGCGCACATCTGGCCACACCCCCAATCAGTGACGTCACAGCAGGTGTTTTGCCTTTGACAGCTGATGGAGCCTGCTGTGACATCACTGATTGGAGTGTGGCCAGAAACGCAACATGCTCCAAAGTTAGCACCTACAGAGAAAAGTGCAGCAAAGGTTGTAGGCTCTGTGTAAATTAGTGTTGAATTACACTTGAACCCGTGACCATGCCTTTCCTCATCACTTTTCACTGTTAAAAAGCACAGACGCACACGTATTCTTTACTCTCTTATTCTTTTCTTAGTAAATTTGCATGGGTTACTATGAAACGTGGCCGACGTAGGCGGAAAATACCAAACGACTAGACCACTTAATCTAGTGTATTCTACGTCTCATCACGGAGTCTTTACTGAGCTCATGGTTCTGATCGGCCTCGTGAGAAGTTGGAGCCGTGGTGTGAGATGTCAATGGAACTTATCAACGGATGCTGTGCTTTTTCACACCGTTTACGTTCAGTCCAAATTTTCACGATAAGATGACCACACTTTGCCTGCCTTCTTCTTAATGGCAGTGATGATGTGTACATAGAATATGCTGTAATAAGCAAAAACTCCCATAAGAGTTGCGTCTTCAAGGCTTATATTTTCTCTGTGTGGCTGAGGGCTGACTGAACAAGCTGGTCTCGCACAAATGTACGTTCCCATGCAACTAAACTGCACTCTCGATGACATTTCAAGGGAAACCTGTTTTCCTCCAGTTGCAGTTTTAAACCGTTTCGAACGTGTGATTAACAAACAAAATTAAAACAAAAAATGCTACAATTCTTTGGGGTTTAGGCAACAAAAGTACTTGCTCTCAGTTGAGACATATTTGTGAAACTTCAAAAGCAAACTTAATCCACAATGTTACTCGCATGCAGTTTCGTTGTATGGGGGACATCATCTTTAGGAGACAGGGCTGGACTGATAGTTTGAGTGCTTTTTGAATCCCGTGTATTGGACAAATAGCACAATGATTGAATTATATACATACATACATACATACATACATACATACATACATACATACATACATACACCTTGCTTTTTAAGGGCATATTTGATTTAGGTTACCTTACGATCTGACGTTCTATCAGTGATACATTTTAACATGATAATACAGTGTTGCACACTTGACAGCAGCAGTATGTGCTTAACCCCCAGATGAATATGACCGTAGCAGTATCTGATACTAACATACTAACTTATGCATAGGGTGTGCTTCCACAAAGGCCCGGAGCAGCTACATTTTAAAGTTGAGTTTTTTGGTAAGAGCTCAGCTCAATTAATACGTTCCCAGTTTAATGATGGTGGTGATGGAAAGCTAGAATGGGAGCTAACAAAGGTGCATCTTTGCAAACCGTAATAACTTTCAATGGGGATCATTAAGCAAAATTATGAACACACGAGTTCCAAACGGATTCCCGCGTCCATGCTCTGTTTTTGTTCGTGTTCAGTTTCATGTAGCAGCATAACTGTAGCAGCTAGAGAAAAGACAACTCCAAAGAATCATGAAACATATCCAATGTATTGCTTGATATTGAACTTGTACACTTGGCTAACCTTCTAAAAAAACGATAGTTGTGTCATTTGAGGCCAGCTTATTGAATAGCATTTCACAATTTTAAGTAATTTTGTTGTAACGTTGAGTTTAAGTCAGTGGAGCTGACCATAAAACTCTCAACCCTCAATATTCTCTTGGCCTTACTGATGCTGTGATTGCTGACAATGACTCTTTGTTGAGCTGTGGACTTGAGGTTGATGCTGCGTGGTAGTTGGTCATCACCAACTGACCAGGCCTTCTCCTCAGTCTGTGTCGTGTCAGACACAGGCCTCAACGTCCTCCAGTCACAGGGGACTCAACTCAAAGTCAGTCCTGTTTTGGCAGCGCCATCCTCCTGCTCCTCTTTCTTGTTTCACTGCTGTGCCCTGCTGATGCTACGACCCTGACTTAAAGTCACGGTCCTTCTGTGAGTAAGTGAGAGTTGCCTGCATTGTCAGCAAACATAGAATGTCACTTCTTACCTAAAGAAGTAGGTATTTTTTTTTAACTTGAATTGGCCTCTGTGTTTATCTATGCTGTAGCCTTCAGTTGTAGGGAAAATACACATGGAGGAGGAAATCTTTCCCGTCATTCACCTTTAAGTTGTAACTGACAGTCTGCTACACTTGCACACCAAATACTGTTAATATGGTAAACCGTTAGGATACAGTTTATTAGCTAGGTATTTATTAAATCCACGAACCAAATACCAATAACCACATACTTCCTTTTTGTTTACAAGCTTTGTTTACAAATGCATTGGTTTGTATTGTGCTACAGTACTTATGTTTTTGTTCAGGTATTTAATATTTCATTTGTGATGTAGTGCTTTGTTTTGGATGTTTGGATGTGTACAGTTTTACCTCAAGAAGGTATCATATGAGAGCTTCCTCTGGCTAGGACAATTGTCATGATAATCAAAAAAAATATATTTAAATGGCTGTTTCTGACGTGAATAACTTTGATTAACATGCCCTGCTGAAAAATATGTATATTTTGGAATTGCACTGAAACTGCATTGGTAGTTTGAAAAAAAATGATTTGTTGTTTTGTATGCTTGTTAAATTAATAAACTTTTTTTTTTTTTTTTCAAAATATCTTAAATGCCCTGTAGTTGTGTTGTTATTTCTTCCAACTTATTTATTGTAGTTTAGATCCACGTTAACTCCTACCCACATATCTGCTGCTGAACCTGGGCTTCACAGAAGAGTGGCATTGCATGACTCACACACTCAAGTTTACACATTCTCACAAATCATATTTATATACAGTACCTTGGTCTTGTTTTAGTTGATCCTTATTACACCGGTACACACAAGAGCCATTCTGCATCATCGGCACATGACCCCGAGTTCTCTCTAACTTACTGTACAGATGACTGCCAAGAAGTCTGAATGAATTTATCAAACAGTCAAGTTAGTTTTATTTATAGCCACAAATTATAAGCGTGTCGGCACACCAAGTGAAAAGTTGAGTAAACATTTACAATCAAGAAAAAGGATGATCCTAATTGTGTTTTGAGCCGTTATCACTTTGTGTTCCCTATAACCAACAAAAAGATGGCGGTTGTCTGGATGTCACATCAGAGAGTATCCGTGTGTGTGTGTGTGTGTGTGTGTGTGTGTGTGTGTGGGAATCTCAAAGGGTCATCATTAATGTTGCATTAAAAAGCAGGGGGACCTTTTAAGCTATCTCTGAGCTAGAGAGTTGCCGTGGTTCAATGATTCTGTCAGTGCATCGGAATTAGGTATTTTCATTCATGCACTTTGCAGATTTGTAATATTCAACAACTTTTCCATCAAGGAGACTGATGCTGATGAGCTGCATTTATACACAGGCTATGAGATGCTTTTGTTTTGTGAACAGGTTGATAATGTAAGGGCAGAATGTCTTTGGGTACATTGAGAATTCACGAGTTAGAGTCTTAACTACAAATAGAAAAAAAAATCTTCAACCATAAATACACAGAGAGTCAGACGTGAGGGGAAAGAAATTGTCTTTTATCTGATTTCCTGATCTGTAGTTCTCTGCATTATGAGGTTCATGTGCCCCGAGAAAACTAGTCCGTTTTTCCAGTAGGATCTGATTGAAGTTTGGTGATTTGTTTCTGCATGCCTCTCAAGAATTCTCTGCTGCTGTTGGGACATGTACAGGGCAATTGAGGTAGTGATGGCAAGAAAAATCAGTTGTGGTTCACCCTGTTTTCACAAGTAATTGTAGCATCTGTCCTACCAACAAATCACACCCTCACAGCATCAGTTTTATGTTGTTTTATCTCACACCAACTCATGAGCTGTAACAGCCCCCTCTGTTTTCAGTGCAATTTAATAACTTCCTCACCGCTTCCTCAAAGAGATCCAAAGTTCAGGTTGAGGGAAAACTGTGGGTTGGATGTTCTTTCCCCTAAAGTCACACTCTGCTTCAACATGGGTTGGTCCTATAAAAGAGAAACAGATTCCTGAAACACAGAAGACATTGCAAGACATTGAATGAATGTGTAGCAGGGTGTTGCTCAATAACAGAATGTGTGCCTATAGCACTCAGAGCATTGGTTGCCGTCTTAAATCCAATGTGCTACCTCTCTGGCCCAGTGACAGCCAAGCTGGTTAATCAGGCAGAATGAGCAACATGCTAATACAAGTCTAAAGGATCACGCGCTATCAGACCAACCCTGGGCTTCACAAATAAGCAACGCAAGACGGGAACGTTCGGTTCAACTGCTTGCAATTCATAGACATGATGCAACCTGTGATAATAAGGCCCTTTACAGGTTCATCGACTAGAAGGATGTGAATCACAGTGTGAACCTGTTTTCTTTATTTGTTCTGTTTTTTTAAAGGCTGCATTTTGCCTGATTGTGTTTTCCATGATAAAAAACAACGGCTTTAAAGAACTACGCCAGTAGTGTCACGCAGGTCGGCTTTAAGCTGAGCAGGAAACCAGGGAGACAGGTATGGAGCTCATATGGCAGCTGCTGTGTGTAAACGGTGGACAGGTGTGTGGAACGTACAGCAGCTAAACGGGCAGGTGTGCCACTGTTTTACATAAACAGCTGCCAGGTGAGGGGACACAGAGTGAGTATGAGATGCAGGGCTCTACCTAGCGTTAGTCTTACAAACTGACATTATCCTCTTAAGCAAACATGGAAATGGTTCTTTTTTTTTTTTTTCCTGGCAGAGTTGTGACTCGTCAGGAAGCACAGGTGCAACCAATAACTTTAATGACGACCCGGTTTCATTTAAATGTCCTTGTTAGCCACGGCAGTGAGCCAGCATGGAGTTCAATTAATGTTATTCATTGCCCCTGTGCTAATCATGCTTTGAATGTTGAGAAACAAAAAAGCCTCTATACCACTAGTCAGTGCCTCAGGAATAAGTACAAACAAAGAGAGCATATTGCGTGATGGGAAAAAAAAGAACTCAAGTACATGATTCAATTAACATAATTCAAAAAAATCTTTCCGCATTAAAAAATAACCAATTTTGTCTGGTCCTTGCGAATAATAAATCCTTCACTTTAGGGAAGCTGAGTTACAACAAAATGACCACATTTATGTAAAATGGATCTGTCTAAACCAAATGAAAGTCACAAGTAAAAACACGCCTTTAAAGGATTTCAGTTCCACTCAAACATTCTTAAAGGCTCTGCACATCTGTCACAGGTGTTTTCAATACTGGCTGATTAGACCGCTCCTCAGGTAGAAGTTGGAAAGCTGAAGGTGTGATTATTTGACCTGCCCTTCCAGGTGGAGCTAAGCTAACAGGAGAGTGAGGAAGATACCAACCAAGCGTAAAATGAACATGAACACACGGTAAGTTACTAATAAGTTACTACAGTATCTGGAGCAACTGGTTAATTACAGTAAACCCCTCTGATGCTTTGATGGAAAGTCTCATAGAGAACACTCTGGCGCACTCTTTTGGATAAGAAGTGCAATGACACCATTGATACATTTATCAATCTATTTATTATTTCAAATACGAGCATATTGAGAAAAGACTGTTCTTCCTTCACATTACATGACATCGACATGTCACTGTTCCCTGTTATTTTTATTCTAATGGATAAATGTGTGACCCTCCACTCAGAGGTTAATCAAGGGAGAAACCTGTAAACACAGCGGGTTATAAATGGCACACATATAGTTTTTGTAGGTTCCCGTCACTTCTATGGTGATCTTTAAGGATTCCTGTAGTTCAGGGCACAGTGATACTTCTCTGATTCTCATGGTTACACAAGCCCAACCATCTTGGTTCTGCTGCTCAAGATGGTCAAGAGTGGAGGAAGGGCATTTCAAAATAAAGCAATCTACATATTGATTAATATACAGAACTAAACACAAGTAACCTACAGAAAACCATAGGTGTCCCTCATGCAAAAATAAGCACGTAAAATAATGATGAGATTATATCAAATAACAATTTTATTGATAAATTGCGAAGCAAGAATTTAAAAAAATTGAGGAGGGAAGTATACATGAATTATTAAAGTAACAAAAACATTACAATATATGACATATAGCAAAAATGCAGTTGCGATTATATGTCGATTTGGAAAATAAACTTGTGAAAATAAATAAAGTTCTGATTTAGTGGTTGTGATACCTCAGTCAAGTTATGAGTGATGATGGTTAAATAAGCACTGCTGACGTCTCAACAACTGAAAGTCAGAATTGAATACAATGCCTTTAATAAGCAATATCAAAATTCTCACACAAATACTACACATTTATTTACATGCATATGTGCTTTATATATAATATATAAGCATTTTGCATGTCTTCCAGTTGATCACAATTGAAAATATTTGCCTTGAAATTTATAAAATCAAACAAAGCTATGATATTAACAGAAAGCATTAATAACCTAGATTTATTTTAGTTTGTCGTCTGATGTTAATAAATAAATAAATAAATTAATACTTTCTTTGTCTACGTTTGGACAATCGATTGTCGAGGTGTCACTCTCGCAAATTCAGAAATACTCTGGTCTGGTCAGTATTGCATGATGAAAACAGCTGTTTTCCCTTAAAAAATGCTACTTACGGCTTCTAATGGCTTCTATTACAGATTCTCAATTTTAGAGGAGGTGTGGGGTACTCGTGGATGGGATTTGTGTGTATATGGATATGTGTTTATGGGCATATGTG